AATTTTTTTCATTCTATTTTAAAAGTGTTTAAAGCTGTTTCAAACAAATTGAAAATAGTTAATTTAAAAAAAATTATCAAATGAAGTAGGTACTTAATTTAATTTGAATGCCTTTAAAATAGATTTAGAAAATTTGAGAGCTTATAATAATAAAATAAATATTTGTTAATATTTTTATGAAGTAAAGCCTTAGTCAATATTCTTGTTGATTTTATTATTGCTTTCGATGTACAGGGTTATTAACAAACTGTGACCAAAAATGGAACCTCGTATTCTCTGATGAATTTTAAGGGAAGTTTTTAGTATAAAAAACAGACAAATAGACAATACCTATAGTACAAAAAACACATCACTTTGTACATGACACAAATTTGTTTGCTTTTGTTTCCATAGCTAGAGATATCATATGGCATTTGTTCTATTATTATTAGCAAACAAATTTAAACTGTCAAAACAACTAAACCAAAAAATAAAAAAAATCAGAAAACGAAAAAAGATTTTCGAAACGTCAAGAACTTTTTAAAGTATGCGAGACAAACTGATGTGTTTTTTGCACTATATTTCGTATTTTACTGCTGTGAGAGTTTTTGTTTAGGTTAGGTTTAGACACTCAGGAAGCAAAAAAAAATTTCAACGTTTTATGATAGCTTTCAGAAAAGAATTTTTTGTTTTATAGAAATCATATACTGGATAAAAGTCTGACAAGGAAAAAACCTTGAAGAAAAATCTATTATGACAAGAATAAGTAAAAAAAATTCTTCTTCTACTACTGATCCAATGACCACTTGACAACATTCCAAATTCTACTTACAGGTGGTATTTTTAAATAGAAATTCTCTCAGAAATTCGTTAGATATATGAACGTTATGAAAAATATAAATAAACAAGGAAAATGGTGAAAACATCTAATTTTGTCTTCAATTTGGAACTGTATGAAAAAAAAAGACAACACAGGAAGTTACTGAGTTTTAATACAAAAGATGGTAGAATTATAATTCTTTTAAAAAGAAAATGCGCTCCTGTTTAATAAAGTGTTGAGATGATCCTATGTAACTAATATTATCGGTGTTGTTGAGAGGTTAAACATATTCTGGAGTTGGTTTAAAAATATATATACAAAACACTTACTATTTCAGAAGCATTTTGATGTTAGAAAGTGAAAATTATACGAGTGAAAAACAGCAGAAAGTAAAAGAAAACAACACACTGCAATTCTCTTTGTAGTATTGTAAAATACATATAAGTACAATTTTGTGTTTGTAAATCTCACATCTTTGAACTATATTCTGCACTAGATAAGAGCCAGCCAAATCGCGTTAGAAAAAGGCAATAAGCGTCTAAACGCGATTATAAAAATAGAATTACAATTTGAAAGAAAACTATTTTTAGGTGAATGTTAGCCTTCCTGTGTTCTGAGAAACCAAGTTAAATTTGATATTTGTTTCGCACTGCATACCAATTCATGTTGCGCTTATACTCAATGAACTCATGTTATTATGACATTGAAAGTACTACTCACAAAAACAAAACAAAGTTAATCTCGGTAATAGCCACTCGAGTAGCTATTTCTGACTTCCGAAGTTTACGCAATTGTAAACATTCTTCAGAAGAAATAAATAAATTGAATGGAAGATATTCAATTAAACATTAAAGTAAAAATGGGAAAAGTTTTTAAATTACGTCAAAATATTCGAATATGTGTACTAGTCAATAGCTGGAACGATGTTGAAATCGCTTTTTAATATCTTTTAATACGCGTAGTTATTTCCTTCATGTTTGTACGCTATTTAATGTGAAATTTTATACACGAACGAACCGGATATTTCTCAAAGTAAACTATTTTATGGCGCAAATATTTAGTTCCGCTGTTACGGCAATATTCATGCATTCTGCATTCCGTTGTTCTGTTTTTGACTAGAAGTAATACACACTCGTACCCGTAAGTACCCACTCATAACAAATTTGGCAGGATCGCACGATCTTCTTTTTGTTTTTTAACAACATTGTCCTTAAATTTATTATTTTGTAAGTACTAATAAAATATTAACAGATTTCGAGAAAAACATCTCTAAAACCGTTAAAGTACCACGTAGCCATTTATTCAGTATTACTGTGGTTTCCGTAGTGCTCTTATTACTGTGGAGTGTTACTTACATCAGTCTTACAAGTGTTCAAAGTTGCCAACGTGTATAGCTATTCAGAAATAGCGGATATTGTTTTAGTTTATGGCGAAACAAGGCAAAATGTACTACCAGCTTCTCGCTTGTACGCGAAAAAATTTCCTGGTAGAAATATGCCAAATGCTGCTGCTATAACCGTGGTAATTTAACAAGGACATGAGAGATTTATAGTACGACAAGGCAAAATCGTTAAATGAAATAAATCAATCTGTCAAAATAAATCAAAGAATGTAAAATTTTGAAATAAATTAGTTGAAAAATGCACCAATATATCATAGAAAAGTTAGAAAGTACAATACAGTACTTTTTTGTAAAGTTAAGTCATATTGGAGCATTGGTTTGAGGAAATTTCAAAAATGTTAAAATATTTGATTTGATAAGTTGATCGACGGAGAAAGGGGGAGTTGCACTTAATGTAATTATAAATAAAATTCAGGGAATAAACTGTAACAAAACTAAAGATTATCATAGCTTTAGTCTAAATTTATAAGTGGAATTAAAATTAATGTTTTTAGCGATTTTCGAAATGTGAAATCCATGATTTAACTTTGTATAAAATTTGTGGAGCAAGATGTATATATAAGCTGTAAAATGATTTGTGTAGTATTAAAAAGACCTTCTAGTTGTTAAAAACTGTATTCAAATCCCAATTTACGTTCCAAGTAGTGTATAAACCTTAGAAGTTGTCAAAAAACGATGTATCTAAAAACATTTCAATTAAATTAAAATCCAATTAAAACAGCAAAAGGCTGTTCATAAAAGTGAAAATAAGTAATCAATGTCGTGGACATAGAATTAAGCTATATAGCACAAATTGGTTAAAATTTACAAAAATAGGCAAAATTTGTAGAATGCTTGAAAATGAACGTAGAAAAAAGATACAGCCATCAAAATTTACAGAAAAATGTTTAAAAACAGAATATGTAATAGTCATGCTGCAAAAAACATGTATAATTTACAATTAAAAATTAAAAAAAAAAGTTTATATGACGTCTCCATAGTAACAAACTCATTTGTCTTCAGTCTATAAAAAGTAAAACAAGGCTTGTAGTAGCCAGTCTTTCATAATTTGCCAAGCAATAAACATCGTTGAGTTGTACCTAAAATAAACAAAAAAAAGTCAAAATTAAGTAAATAAATTATAAATTAAGATACCAAGTTACAAACGTCAAACAGTATTAACAAGGTCGAATGTCATCTGTCAAGAGGTGCAGTTTTGCATCAGTTCGAATTCTAACCTAACCTAACTTAAATAATCAAATGTGTAAATTATAAAATTGTCAAAAGTAAATATAGTGAAGTGTACTATAAAGTTGCTACAGAGTTACATTCAAGCCATATCTACTGAGTGGAAGACGAGACGAGCAGTTTGTGACCACCCTGACAATGTGATGCACTAGCAGAAAGAACTACAGTAACGTATGCGAGCCTGAAACCAGCGTTACTTTTAAATGTAACGTGAGTTTTCTACTCTTAGTAATTAAAAACATCGATTTAAACGCATTCGTAACAAAAATCAATCAGAGAAACTCAAATCTAAATTAAAAAAAAAGTAGACTAAAATTTAAAATTTTCACATTTCATAACAAAATATAAAGGGGAAAATTATAGCTAGTGAATATAACATAGTATAATATGTAAATTTTGTTAAATTGTCAAAATATTGTTGAAATTTTCATTTTCTCACAACTTTTATATTAATAAAAGTATATCAAAGAAAATCGTACCCTGATGAGGAGTTAACTCTGAATACAAGTGACTATACAAGATAAGTTCTTGTTGGTGTCCAGCAAAAATTACAACAACGAATTCAATAAAAATTATAATTAATTAACAAAAAAATAAAAAGTTCATATTATTATAATAAAAAAATATAACATTATGTTGCCTCCTTGGAAGGCTTGTGTATGGAAGCTTTAGGAGCTTTAATTCCTTGCAATATTTATTTATGTAATTAATTAAATGGTAAAAGATACTTCTAGATAAAAACAATGTAAAAAATTTAGAGCGTACAACATATATTGGTCAGTATCCAACACTGGTTATTGACCTAAAACTTATTTTGAGTAATACCATAAACTCGTGTTACAGTTCGAATTTCGTAAAATTTTGAGTTTATTTACTGAAAATCCGAAACTGTGTTAAAAATTTTCCCGATTTCCTTCGATATCGGCGATTTTGCGATTCGTCACCTGCTCTGTCAGCATCGGCTGTCGGCTTTTGGCGGCAATCATGAATTTGTGTGTCGGTTCCAGTAGCTGCATCTCATATGAAACTTTTTAAGGAAATCTTTTAGAAACACGGGTGAAGTAGAAGATTTATTCTTAACGTACCCGAAAACTATTCCGTTTTGAAGAATTGCACAACCTGACAAATTATTTACTGATTCATTTCAATAGATAGTTTTAAGTCTCGGCACAGTGCACTCCATTAAGACTACCGTTAATAAACCTGATGAATAAAAGTGGGCCCAAAATAGATCCCTGAGATACGCCGCATTTGTGCATATGTCCTTCAGACCTGAAGCCACGGAATTGAATGACTGGTATAGATTATGTACGTTTATGATTGAAATGAATAAGTTAAATGTTTCTAATTTGTTCTACAAAAATGTGTCTGATTTAGGAACAAGTTACTACCTTATATATTTTTTTACTAAACATTATGATCTCATTACTTAACCCGACACATTCGAAGCACTTTATATGTCCGAGTTCCCTTCCTAACTTCAGGTTCAATGTGTCGAAGTTAGGGCAGTCGGTTGTGTGAACCAGCGGAAATCGTTTCTATTTATTTGTTATCGTCTGGTTTTTCTTCCAGTCTAGATGCCCGAGGCGGACCCAAGCCCTCTCATCTAACAATGAGTGATGACCTGGGGAGCCGATCATACTTCATCGTCGACGAGGAGCCGTCCAGAGCGAGACTGAGGATACAGAACGTTCAGATTCTGGACGAAGGCGTGTTCAGGTGTAGGGTGGACTTCGTTAACTCGCCCACCAGGAATTTCCAGGTCAACCTGACATTAGTAGGTTAGATTTATGTTTTCACTGTTTATTTAAAGCAAAATAGCACGTTGTTTACATTCTTCAAAGCTGTAAACATTAAACCGTATTGAATAAACAATTTATGAAAAAGAAATCACATAGTGAAATAATTAAATAATGTAAAGTTTCCTTTTTTGTAGTCCATAGCACCAAAAAGCATTTCCAGAAGCAGTTTTCTTTAATATATAACAAAAAAGGGGGAAAAAACTCTTAAGTTCTTTATTTTATACATTTTTCGTGGACTTACATTGGCACCTTCACCATAATATAGAAAATTACATTTCTGACTTTACATGCACTAAATATTTTGAATAAAGAATAAGAAAAACAGTAACTTTACATTTCAATAGTAAACGCTGGAACAAAAGGACATTTTTTGTGGAATATATTGGAGATTTAAGTATACAGTGTGGAAGATTTTGGAGATGTATGTATTGGTATCTTGGAAACTATAAGAGATAGGAAAATGGTAAAATGGGGAAAGTTTTAGACAGTTCTGTTGTTTACTTAGTGGCGCTTGCAGGCCGGTCCCAGCTCTTCAGGTTTTTGAGTCATTTTGAAAAAAAAAAAGAAAATAAATATGACGTTTTCGAAAATCTTCTGTAACTTTTTATATAGAGAATTTTTTTTATCTGAAAACACTTTTTCAAAGAATGTTTTTTCGAGGAATTTCACTGTACATTTGGATCTTCATTCCGACGTTTCGGTTGCAAGAAACCATCATCAATTTCCTTATATCTTATGGGCGCTCTACTGAATTTTAAGCTGAGCAAATAGAACATTTTTTCGATTTTCAATGATTATAACTAAACAAAATTTTAAAAACAACCCCAACAATCAACATTTTAATATAATTTTTCGAAACTATTATAGAATAGTCTCTAATTTTTGTAAAAGCTTATAATTAATGTCATGGCGTTGAGTGAAAAAATTATAGTAATGGCCACGTGTTTACGAAGAAAATCCCCATTAGTAGTCTATGAATCTCCATGATGACAATAACATTTTCATTTCTTTCAAACTGCTTGTCATTTTGAACTATTGTTAATCATAGAGTTAATTGTTAACAGTTAGGGTGACACTTATTTTAAAATCGGCAAAATGGCTTTGCGTTATTCCAATGAAGGAAAATATTAGGTATTGTTGCCCCAGTTATTTTTGTCCCTTTCATAGTTCTTAGCATGTAGATTTTCAAACTTTCAAAAATTCTCAAATTTGTAATAAATTTAGAAAAATACGCTTCATTTGGTGGTTGTCTTTCGGGATAATTTCCGATATAACTATTTAAGATCACAGCTGCTTTTCTGTTATTTTTAATAAAGCACTCCAACATATCATATTTTTCTTCATTGGAATAACGCAAAGCGTAAATTTTTCTCTCAGTGCCATGCCGTTAATGAAAAGGTTTTACAAAAATTTGAAACTATTCAATAATAGCTTTGAAAAATTATGCGGTGTTGTCAGATTTATTAAAAATATTAAAATTGAGTTGAATTTTGACGTTGTTTTTGAGGATATTTGTTACATATATCACTGAAAAGCGAAAAAATTGCTCTATTTGCTCAGCTTAAAATTCAATATAGCGCCTATAAGAAAATAGAAAGTTGATAATGGTTTCTCGCAACCGAAACGTCGCAATCTATAGTACACATTAATTTCCTGACCATATAATTTTTCTAAAATTATTTATTTACTGGTAGAATCATTTATTGTGTGTACGGAACTGTTTTTCTTCCAAATTGTTCTATTCCATCTTCAGACAAAACATTAAAGGTGGATAAATTTTTTACAAATGTATTCCTATAGGTCAAATATTGTTTAAATTTATAAACGTATGCTCTATATAATATTAAAATATTTAATTTTGTAATATATTGATAATAAAACTATATAATTTAATAAAGTCGGAGATTAAATGACATGTATTATTTGCAAAAAAATTGTAAAAACTTAATAATAATTAACATTTGATGTTTTACCTGAAGATAGGGTAAACCAGAAACGATCGTAATAAAACAAATTGGGAGAAAAATAGTCTCATAAACTAAGTTATTTTATTGACAAATGTCACAGTAAATAAATAATTTAATAAATATACAGTGAAATACCTCGAAATATCTTGCTGTGAAAGTGTATTCAGATTTTAAAAATTCCTCTAAATAAAAAAGTTACAGGCAATGTTTTAAGACGCCACATTTACTTTTTCTCAAAATAACTCAAAAGCTGGAATAGCTAGGATCGGTCTGCAAGCGCCAACAGAATTGTCTAAAACTTTCCCCATTTAACAATTTTATTTGTTATAGTTTCCAAGATACCAATACATGCATCAACAAAATGATCCACACTGTAGGCATATGTTAAAAGATATTTTAATGTAGGTACACAATATTAGAAACAATACAGTAAACCAAGTACTTAAAATTTCAATTTTATCAGCGTCAATAGCAAAATATTAAAATTATCAGTTGTTTGTATTTAGTGCCTTTTATACAGGGTGTTTGAAAATAAGTGTGAAATATTTTTCGTGTCCCAGATACACAGTGTTTAAATTTTAAGTTTTTATTTATTTTTATTAATTATTTCAAAGAGTTTTAACTCGAAATTTGAAAAACGCTTTGGAGGAATAAATGTGCATTTTTTGGGGTGATTCGAATATTTCTGCTTGCACCAGTGGCGTTTGTGCAAGAGTACCACAGCCTTTTTTAATAAAAAAAAAAATGGTACGTCACTGACTTTTAATATTTTTTTAGAAATCCGCCATCACTTCTGAATGAAAATGGTCTCTTCAATGTTTTTCGTAGGATGCACCATTTTTGAGAAAAAAATGTTTTATTGCAGGTTGTGTGTAATTTTAATTTGTATTGATACATTATCTAGTAGGTTATTGTCAATATTTCCAAATAAAATACAACCATCAAATTTCGAGCCAATATCTTTAAAACTTTTTGAAATACCTAATTAGTAAAAATAAATAAAAAATTACAATTTAAACACTGTATTTCGGAAACGAAGCATATTTTGACCTACGTTTATCTGAACTTTTTTTCACAAAATAACGTCGCCAACTACCCCCTAAAACATGTTTCACTTATTTACAAACACCCTGTATAATGTTAGGGATTTACAAAGGAAATAATTGTATTTTAAAATTTCGAGATTTTGGCGAAGGCGCCAATGTTACAGCTGGAACCATTAACGGCCCCCATTTCATAATTCAAATTAAAATATGCTTTTAAACCTGATTTGAAAAAACACTTTCATATATTTATGCACATATTCAATAAGTATCTAATATTGTTTATTTAGTACTTTTATGTTGATTATGAAAATGGGAAGGAGATCAAACGAAGTGCTTATACTATAAACGTACTTTCCTGCATTGACCAAATCCTTTGCTAGAAATTGCCAATTCAGAATTTAAAATTAAATGGTAATACCGCAATTGTTTACTTTGTCGTCCGTCTTTGATTTCAGTTCAACCGTCTGCTCCTAAGATCTTTGATGCAGAAGGACGAGAAGTTAAACTAAATTCTCCCACTGGACCTTTCCTGGAAGGTGATGAGTTGTTTCTGTCCTGCCAGGTCACCGGAGGTAAGTTTCATAGACAAATTTACCACTGTTTCGAATTTTTAACGTTTGAATTCTTTCAATGCAAAAATATTAATAATAATTGGGTAAAATGTGCAAAATTAAGATATTTTAAAGAATCGTTACTTCAAATTAAATACATTTTACCTCAGTCTAGATCATTTTACATGAAAAGGTAAAAGGTGTATTAAAAAAATATGTCTTAACTTTGATTCAAATGTAAAACTGTCTAAATCAGTACAGTAATTTAAATTAATGTGTTTTATTTCTCCGTAATTTTGTTCTCTAAACTACAAACACAGTAAAGAAGAAAGTAATAATAATAGTTATCAACTGTTCGCGTTAAAATCAGTTGTTTCTAAAGTTTTTAATAAAACTGTAGGTACCATAAGAGAGTTTGTCTAAATTAAGTCGGTTCTCATTTGAGTCATTTACCTCGCCTATTTCTCTCCCAGCCTAGAACTTCATAACACATAGAATTGTCCTTTATGGAGAAAGATGTACACTCAGGTGAATTAATGATAAATGATGTTGCTGGAAGTATACATACATGTCTTTCTCAGACAGTAATTAGGGTTGACGCGTTAACTATGTACTGAGTTAGGTTCACCTTTGCATTGATAAACTAAATTTTCGGTGTGGTAACTTTAAACGAACCAGTGACGTCTCCATCAGAAGTTTAAATCAACATTTACAATATGTTTAATAAATTACTTAGTCTCCAAAGAAGGATGAGGTGCATGAAAATAAAAAAAACCATTAAAATTACACATAATGTACTATAATTTTTAATAAACAGTATGGTTTTAGGTAGAGGAAATGTACCCAAGATACAATTTCTAAGCTTTATTTATTTATTTTTTTTTTATTTCTAAGCCTTTATTTATTTCAAAAGTAAAAGACGACACTAATTGTAACAAGACTTCGCAGCGTTGCCAACTTAATATATCTAGTTACTAAAGTCAGTTCAATATCAAAGTAATAAAATGAATGCATAACGACACCCAACAATAATAAATTAAAATTAAAATGTAGTACTTTTTCTTGTTTTTTTATTCGTAAATGTAAAGTAAAATTAATTATATATTACGATCTAATATTTTCCACAAATACTAATTTTAAAAACACAGAAAGTCCTCTGCCAAACTAATAACTTTTACCAAGATATAGGACTATATTGTTTAGTTTATTTTGCTAAATAGGTTTATTAAAGGTAAGTGAATTGGTGCAATAAGTATTAAAGATAAAAACGTTGACTGAAATTTTGAGAGAATATTTCAATCAACGTTAAAAGTGATTTTTTTAGGTTAGAAAGAATACACAAGGTATATATTTTTTACCGTGGCAACATTCCTTAATTATTATCTTAATATATACCTAAAAATGTTAATGTACTTGGGTAAAACAATTGTGCGGTATCAGGAATTAAAAGGTCGCTGAAGAAAAAATGAGAAAATATGTTAAGGCTCATTTCATTTTCATAAGGTTATGATTGTATTATAAGTATACTTTGTTTTATAATATCCATAAAATTATTTATCAATTCAAACGTAATTTTTAGGAAAAGTAAAAGTTAGATTTTTATTTAGATTCATTTACAGAAATCCTAGACTTATTACTATACAAAATGTTTACTAATGAATTTTTTCTGATGGTAACAAAAAAGCCAATGCAACAATGTAAACAAAAGCAATACAATTTGGTAAAAATTATACATTAAAATATAAATCAATATATTCAAAACGTAGAGTGTACATGTGGAAATTAAAAAAAATATGTAAACAATATTTATGTTTATCTTACATTCAAAACACATAGTAAAATGTGGAAACAAAAAAAACTATTGTTTTGATGATAAAAAATATATCTGATATGTAAGTTGAAGGCACCTTCATTATACGGCAAAGTTTTTTTATCACATTTTTTCAAATATAGTTGTCTAACGTAGACTGACGAAACTTGGGGACAAAAACTGTCATTAAAAATTATTTACAGGAAAACTTGTACTTACCCATTAATTTCATTTTTTTTAAAGAATAGAATAATGGATTTTCGACATTGTATATTTAATTTAAAGAATTATTGAGAACGGAAATGACAAAAAAAACCTTTTAGACAATGTTTGTATTCATATTATCTTATATTCTAGCAAAAATGTAGGATTTCCCATCTGTGTAGCATAAGCAACATCTCCATCAAATTGGTTTGTTTAAGTAGAAAATTAAAACTTTTATCTTAGGGACAGAATTTATTAAAATTCCGGATCCCAAGTTTTTTTACAATACTTGTGGTAAATTGACACTCATTTTATACATAGTAAAATAGGGAGAAACAACAGTAATAATAAAAATGTGTCTGCTTGTGTGATTTTCTTTTTTTTTTGTTTCCATTTATTTTAATGTAGTTAAAATATGCAATGAATATTTTTTACTAAAAGAGCAGTCTGTAGTATTAAAAAAATCACTAGAAAAATTTTGTCAGTTACTGAAAATGCGAGCTCAAAGCGAATCTAAAATAATTTTGATAATATTTGAAGAGTCTGAGGTATGAAAAGAAATGACAAATTTAACTGCAATAATTCTCCTTCAAATCCTTTTTAAGTACAGATAAATACAAAATTTACTCTTTAAGCAAATTTTACCGATTTTTTAAGAAAATACCTAAACAATATTTTTCTACTAACACAGTTCTTTATTACCCAAGGCCGGCCAAGGCCATCGTTGACATGGTGGTACAACGGGACGATATTGGACAGCGTCATAGACTCAGGAAGAGCCTCCTATACAACTGTTAACCAACTCATCGTCAAGAATACGCCCAGGCACTACAAGGGAGCCAAACTCGAGTGTAGGGCGTCATCTTCTGAACTGGCTGGACATGTGATACGAGAAGTACCGATAACAGTATTCTGTAAGTACTCAAATGTGTTAGCTGGTCACTACTGACGATTATTTTGTTTTTTGCCCGATATAATTAAAAAAATGTTTGTTGAAGTTCCAAAATTGTTTATTGTTAAAATAGAAATAGATTTGTTTAAAGAATACAAGGTGCCAAAAAGATAAAGTTCGGACTTGGGTGATAGTACTGATCATGAAAATGTTTCGTGAAGTTAGCACTGCCTTTGCCTCTAAGGTTCCTCATAATGGGGCAGTTCAAACACCGTAAATAAATCGGTGTGAGTGAAAGCAATAAAGGTACGGAGTGAAATTATTGAGTACATTTTCACTCAGTATCAAATTCGTAAATAAACTAAAATTTTAGAATTTACAATAACAATAGCGTGTCCCTTATTGAGTCTTATCTATCGACCAGAACTCAGTATGTTTTTTATAATTCTTGTTCTTCACACCTAACAAAAATAGTTCATGAAGTTCGCCAAGGCTCAGTATTGGGCCCTATTCTGTTTCTTATCTATATCAATGATTTCCCAAATTGTGATATAACTATTGATTTTATTTTATTTGCCGATGATACTACCGCTTTAAAGTCAAATAATAACTTAATTAAACTCACAAAGAATTCAATGGATACGCTGCTGCTGATAAAGGACTGGTTTATTGCTAATAGATTGAACTTAAATGTTGACAAAACTCAATCTTTGCTTTTTACACTTCGCCATATCAATACTTGTGATAACTCAAATAGCATTAAATTTCTTGGAGTTCACCTTGACACTAAATTGAGTTGGGAAAAGATGTCAATGATTTATCCGTACGTTTATCTAAGAATATTTTCCTACTGCGTAATTTGGATCGTGTAGTATCTAAGCATGTACTCATATCTGCATATTATGGTACTTTTTATGCCACCATGACTTATGCAATTTTGAACTGGGGTCATTCGTCTCACAGTGATAAAATTTTTGGTTTACAACCTAAAAGTGTTAGAATTAAGTATGACTGGAATAAAATACAGAGATGATTGGGGAGCACTTCAAACTGCTAAATATTCTTACAATGCCGTCAGTTTACATATTTGAGTGTCTCGTTTATATAAATAATAATCAGAATAGATTTGTTCGACAAAATTTTCATTTTCATCATACAAGAGAGCGACACAATATTAGGCCTAAATTTTCGCCTAAATAATGATTGATTTGATTCAATATTGGGTAGTTTGATCATTTTACTCATTTGTGATAATATTTAAACTAAAACTGAGTAATTTCACTCAAGTACTTAATTAGTTTTACATACTCGGAATAAAGTCAAAAGTCACTCACTTGGTAGTTAGCAGAAACTCGGATCTGAGTAAAATTCACTCACTTCTGTTGCAATAGTTCCACTCATAAAATATTATTTGTACTCATACTAGTAGAGTGAAAAATTTCACTCAATTGGGTATGGATCGTTACAGAATTGAGTAAAATTGAGTGAATTTGAGTAAAATTTTGTTTACAGTGTATGAACACATGCCTAAAGCGTTCCTTAATGCAGTTGCAACCCTTTAAAGAGTACGTAGAAAAAGAATAGTCTGTAATATTCTAAGGTGGTTGGCAAATTATTTGTATAATTAATATCATTCTTTGTCCGTAGACATTTTATTGTTTTTTATTCAGTTTCGTCCAAGAAAACACTTATCGAGACTTTCCGAGGGCTATCCCTTTGGGGAATGAAACAATGTTGAATTCACGTTTATACCATTTTACTGAACTTTTTCAACTTAAATAACAAACTTTTTTTTTTGTTTTTGATGCTAAACGGGTTTGCGCCTTCTAGACTTGGCCTTTAACTTTTATTTCGCATTTACATTTAAAATCAGATATTTTCAAGGCAACAATGTACATCAAGTCGAATATCATACAAACGCTGAACACATTTAATCATACCAGACAAGTTATCAAACAGGGTAACAATTATTGCGGTTATTGATACTTACTGCAAACTATCCAATTTAGCTCCAAACTAGCAAGTTCAAAACTCCTGTTCATGCAGCTGAGTATCTAGAAATCTATGGTTAAACTTGGGCCGTTGTCTTGTGATCTACTATTCTGTTTTCTGCCCTTAACTTGTCGAACTGTAACCACAGGGTATTTGAGTATGTCGGAGAAGTTGTAGAGCCTCGTTTGCGATCTATTCGCATCGTTTTTTTTGCTTGTTTTACGTTAAGCGCAAATACGAAGCTGAAACATGCCTAAAACTGTCTGTGTGAGGCACATTTTACAGAAAATTTCGCATCTCTATTGTGTAGCCAATCAAATAGTGTTACCTTAGAAATTACCAAGGCAACAAAAAAGTGTCCTGAAGTTTTTCTCTTCGTAGATACACTTGACGTAATTCCACTGCATTTTTTTCTGTCATTTGTGATGATATTTGCGACATATACTGACATTATATGGGTAATTCATTTATTTTCCTCTAAAATTCTATTTGGTTCTAGTAATCTTATAATATAATGAAAAACAATTTTAATTTGTTTCCTTTCCTAAACGCTAATAAAAATGACAGAGAGCGACTTATATTGCATTTATTATGAAAGCATGACCAGTGTCGTCCCTGTGAGGGTGAAAGCAAAGTTTTAAGTGATGACATTTTTCAGAAAGAAGGGCTATATGTACAATCTGTATCAGCCAAATGGAATAAATTCAATCATAAATAAATGGGGGCGTGTTAAAAAAACGCTCGGACACGTCGATTGGTATTTTTAGTTGAGCATTTTTTTAACAAAACTTTTTATACAGGGTGTGCCATGTAACAGTGGTCAATACAACTTTCTTGTTTTAAATGCAACACCCTGTATATTATTCAATTTTTGGATTCTTCTGAAAATTCTAGACATATTTCATGTACAATGTCCTATACTTATATTCAACTGTTTCGGAAATATTAAGTGTTTCCGGATTTATCGTGTTGTAGCGAATTTCTGTAATCAAATAATTTTCTTTTTTTGATGTTAATTTTTGGGATAAACCTGAAAACACTTAATATTTCCGAAACAGTTGAAGATAAGTATAGGACATGAAATATGTCTAAAATTTTCTGAAGAATCCAAAAATTGAATAATATACAGAGTGTTACGTTTAAAATAAGAAAATTGGTATTGACCACTGTTAAATGACACACCTTATAGGTATAAAAAGTTTTTATTGAAAAAAATGCACAACTAAAATTACCAATCGACGTGTCCGAGCGTTTTTTCGAACACGTTTCCATTTATTTATTATTGAATTTCACCAGCAATATTATTAAATACAGAAATACAGCTGAGATCATTCAAGTCATATGGCACCTATAGCATACTGATGAATGCTAACAATTCCGAAACAGGTGTATAAACGGTGTTTATGTTATTACTTTAGTTTAGTTTCTCAGTAAATTTACAACAAAAATTTAAAATCCAGCCATTTCTAATTATATCAGGAGGTAATCCTTAAATTCTATGTTTTATCGTCGATCGATGCGATAGTTCCATTCCATTCTATTTATCGAGAACTAATCAATTTCACGTTTACAGTAAAACCAAGCAAAGTAAAGATTGTCAGCCCGAATGATTTACTATCTATCAGAAAGTCGCAAAACATCAGATGCGAAACTTCCGGTTCTTATCCACCTGCCAAGTTAACATGGCTACTTGATGGAAAACCTATTAGGAATGCCGTTGTTACGGTAAGTAAGTTACGTTTGCACAGTTTGTTAACTAATCCCCTCATTAGCGCCGCTCAGCACATCCGAGCGTCACTCTCGAGATGGCCAATATGGCGACGCAGACGCCGCATCCTTCTAATTATAATGTGTGGTTACCGATTTTTCTTAACCCAACGGATAATAAAGCTTCGTTTACTTCGGGCTTTAATAAATAATGTTGGCATGTCTACAAATAACACCCTGTACAAAAAATAGATGTCTCACAGTTTGTAGTAGGTGACTAGCCTTTGCCTTTCACATTATCAAATATTTTGTTATGGCAAATTTTAACAGAATAGTTTTATCAAAATTTAAGGAATTTTCTGAATAATTTGGCAACTCTGCAATCCTAAGTAATCGCTGACTTTGGGAATATAGGTACGTGTCATTAAAAATTGAATTGATATCACGAAATATATCACTAAAAGTTGCAATAAAACACAGATTTCGAAAAAATTTGTTATGTTTATTAAAATGTAGATATCTTGTCAGGACTCTCATTGATTTTTTTTTAAATAAAACTGACCATTTTTCATTCTGCCTATAAATTAGTCTATATTCCAGAGCATTATTTTTAGATATTGTCTCTCTATAGAAATTAAGTTCTCTATTAAAAACCTCAATTTTAGTTTATATGTAATCTACAAATTAGCACACAAGATAACAGATTTTTAAAAATCCAGTAGAGTTAACCTCTTATTTGTTGTTAGGAGGAAGAGACTGATTCATTTACGGGCAGCATTTTGTCGCTTAACGTTGTCGCAGAGGACGACGGGAAGGATCTAGTATGTCGAGCGGACAATCCACGTTTTCCCGGAGGATCAGCTGAAGACAGGAGACAGATTCACGTCGCATGTAAGTCCGACATTTACCTTAGGTCTAGCTATTGGCAAAATGATTTGACACGTTGAACGGCAGAGTATCACATTTTGTTTTCCTATTGTTTGGTTTGGTTGCTTAGAATATTTGTTGAAGGTTAGTTGCGAGAAAGAAAGTTACTGCGATCTTAAGGGGATTCTTTTTAAATTTGTAAATGTATGTATTTGTGTAAATTTGACAATTTTTTATGATAATTCGAGCCTGTCCCCGAATTCTAAGAAATTTATTATTGTCTTAATTGTATATGTAGGGTGTCAAATTTTCTGAAAAAAAAAATTAAAGTGGCCACAAGCTAATTAATTACCCATTTTTTTTTTCAATATCGAAGATGCCTTTAAGAGATGATGTTACAATATTCAAGAAAGTTATAAATATATAAAGTTGCAATTATTTTACACAAAAAAATACTTCAATTCATACTATTTAATGATAATTCATTAAAATTAATTGAGTTCAGATCGGGGCTTCTGGGAGGTTATATAATTTTACAGCATTTTCCTGTTCCATTATTGAATTATGGAAATGACTCATTCGACATACTTTTAAACCGTACAAATCATTGTATTGAGTGGGAAAGAGACTATATTGAATAAAGGTGAGGTGGATTTTTCCAACTCCCTTAAAAAACTTAAAAATAAAATGACATCTGGTACAGATTTTGTACCAAGTTTTATTGTGTAGGAGTTCTAATGGTTTATAAGTACAAAAATTCGACCAATATTTAAACAAGCGTCAGAGCTCTCCTAATTGACGGATTCAAATTTATCAAAAAGCGTTTGAAAGCTTAAGAGCCCTTCTATATGTGATTAAAATTTCATAAATCTAAGGGCATTGGTTTTTGCTGCGCAAAATATTGAAAATTTGCAAATTTTTTTCTAAATTTGGATTGCAAAATTATTATACAAAATCTATCGAACCGATTTTGATGAAATTTGGTGTGATGATTTAACATAATATAAAGTTTTCTTGAGTCAAGTATGAAGGTCCTATACCCAATTTAAAGACCCCAAAAAAAATCCCTAAAAAGTAATCTTTTAACCCCAATTTTGGCGATTTTTTTGATTTTTGCAATAATAATCATGATTCAATTCATTTGTAACTAGTCACATTTTGTAAAAAAATTAATTACAAACATTTTTTTCCTCTTCCATTTTCGCCTAAAATCAACTTGAAAAGGTAGGTGCATAATTAAATAGGAAGAAAAATATGACATTTTTCGAATTTTTTTAACATATTGTCACCGAACCAGAGATTTTCAATTAAAATTAATGTAAAATAAGCAAAAAATCATCACAGACAGCGAAAAACGTCGACATCGCTGTCATCAGTCGTGAGTTAAAATTTAGATAGTGACAGACACATAAATACGAATCGACTACTGACTCTCGGACCACGGTAAACCAAACCTCGGACTATTATTTTAGTATCAAACCATTTTCGAAAGTTTTGTGATTTTTTTTACAAAAAAAAAAACAGCAACACGAAGTTCTACGCCTTCCCAGGAGTCTCACTAGCCGCGGCATCGAAAAAATCGCGCAACAAGAATTCAGTATAGACCAGTGCTTAAGCCTTCAAAAATGGTAAAAACTGAAAAAAAAATTATAGTAGGATGAAACCCATTGGAAAAGGAAGAGAATATAACAGAAATGAAATGAAAAATAATTTACGGGCGATCTGAGGTCGGGAAGGGGAAGGGGGTGAGTTTTTAAGGGTAAAAAACGGTTTATCTTGATTTCCGGAAAAACTACAAGTCTTATGGAAAAAAGTTAAATGGCAAAGTTGTAGGTAATAAAAAGATCTACAACTTTTGTATTTACACTTTTTTCACATAACCTCAAAATTTATGTGAAAAATTCAAATAANACGCAATTGGGTCATTAAAAGTGACACACCAACAAACGAAAAGTTATAAATATGTATTTTAAGAGAGAAGCGTTTTCTAAAAAGAATAAGTTGGTGATTGTGAATTGAAAATCAAACGTCGGAGAGTAAAACTAGCTTTCCAGAAAACACAAAAAACATTTCCTTGAAAAAATGCCATTTATTCTGTTCTAGATCTGATAATAACAGACAAAAAAATCAATGTTTCGAAAATATATCAACTAAAAGATACATCAGGGTATATTTACGCCATTTCAATGGTCGATTGATCTTTCACCATTATCGTGTACTGGATATCCTTATTCAGGATACGTATAGTTTTTATTAGAATGTACCTAATAGGTGTTCTGACATGCAAATTGTCGTAATTATTTTCCATAGAATAATTATTCCATAAGGCAGTATTATCAAAGAAAAATCACAGTACTGTGACAATAACAGATATTTTTAAAACGGTTCTATGAATATTCCTGTTTTAAAAAATATTTTTTATCTCAATACTTTTCTTAGAAAGTTGAAATTTTAATGTAACCAACTATTTTTATTTGATGTCAAGATAAAGTCATACCATTAAGTAAGTTCTTAGATACAGGGTGTCTCGTAAAAATGTCGCTTTTAGTCCAATTTTCAACAAAAATTAGTGTTAATGGCTTCCAAAATAGCACAATTTAGCACTCAGTATCGTTTTCTTCCAAGGTCTACCTTAATTGCAAACTGCGATATATACAGGGTGTTCTGAAAATTGAGGCATTTATTTCAACAGCTGGTAGAATTCGTAAAAAAGTCGATTTACCTAAAATCGTTTATATAAAAGTTGCAGAAGAGAGTTATAAAAATCCCGTTCTACAAAAATGGTTCAAAATTGTTCTACAAAAATTGTACAAAATTGTTATCAATTGATTACCATTTACGTTTTTACAACGCGTGCTTCATAAATGACAATAAATCAGGTTTGTATTGAGTTTTTAAATTTCAATTTTTTTTAAATAATTGTTAATAATTGCTTTATTTGACAACTTTCATAAACGATTTTTGGTAAATCGACTTTTCTTAAAGAGTTCTACCAGCTATAAATAAATGACTCAACTTTGAGAATACCCGACATTTCTGTATTTAACCTTTATTTAATGGTTTTTAATTTTATTTATTTTCCTATGCATTGGATATGTATTTTCTTTAATTTCATGATATAAATTCCATACAATGTAGGAACTTTAAAACAAAAACATGCATGCGCTGTCACGTATTATTATTATTATTATAAAACAAATCGATTTTGCCAAAAAACTTTTTGCAGTTCTTATTTTTGACAAGATCTGTTACTTTGGAACACCTTGTATGTTCTTAGTTACAGCCTGAAAATATGCCAATTATTGATTAAAAGAAACGCTGTCATATTCATTAAAGGAGTTTCATGCCTAAAAAAATGATAACTTAGTTCTGTGGCATTGATGTAATCACTTATTTTTTATTTTCAGACATAATTTAATTAAAAATAATAATATTATTATTTTATTAGTCTATTGTTTCTTCATAATTTTTCGTTTTACAATAAAGAAAATACGTTATGAATTTTAAGCGTTCCGCCTTGCTTTACGCTCCATCGAAGACGACGTCTTTCCGCGTTCTCGCTCTACTCGAGCAGAGATTAGGAATTTTATCGTGAACGGGGAGAGTTACAAATTAATCAGTGTTTCCATATTATTCTTGACCCCACCTCTAAAGTGATTACAAACCATCTTGAAGCTAAGAAGATACAAAACTTCGTCGGCCCCGTGATCTGAATACAAACGGCCGAATTTGTGCTGCTTGGTTTCCAAAACCAGGGTCATCGCGAATTCCCCGCATGTCTGCCAGGGAAAAGGCCAGAGTTAGCTTTGTTAAAGACATCCGCAACGTTACTCTTGCTCCTACTAAACTGTTTTAATAGAAAGCCCCTACATTTTGCTGAGCTCTTTGCGAACTTTCATTAAATGTTTCCTTATTTCTATTACCCCTACACGTAGAGGGTACGGTTCGTGGCCCGCCGACTAGATGCAGATGTTCCTCTTTTCGCTTTGAACATAATAATTAAAATATACGAGAGATGCGGCACTCAAGAATTCCCCGAGTTTTCGAATAACTTCCGTAATAATGATCGGATTAAATAAATGCAGTTTGTGGAAAAGTCCAAATTATACACATTCAGGATATTCCGTACATCAGATAATATGTTGATAAAGCAAAGAGATAACTTTATTGTGCAAAAGAAAGTGTCGAAGAAATCAATTAAGAATGCTAATACACTGTAAAAGAATCGGTGTGAGTGAAAGCAATAAAGGTACGGAGTGAATCTATTGAGTGAAATTATTTAGTACATTTTCACTCAATATTGAGCATTTTGATAATTTTACTCATTTGTGATAATATTTGAACTAAGACTGAGTACTTTTGCTCAAATATAGGTACCCGTTTACTAAATTCTGCAGATAATCTCCTATTTGATGGCTAAATTGGAGTAAATGTCCTCATAATTGAGTGACGGCGCCTCATTCTATGGTTGTCGTGAGTTGTCTTTGTCTATTCCAATCGTCCCCCATTAGGTCATCTTATGGCGTGTAGTGCTGGACAAGTGTCCGTTAATCCGGTTATTTTAGTGAAAATTATGTTTAAATGCAGTGGTTTGATTACAATAATTAAATTAAATTATATTGAGAAAGAGAAACAGCCAACTCTTAATTAATTTTACATATTCAGAATAGAGTCAAAATTCACTCACTTTCGTTGCAATAGTTTCACTCATAAAATTTTAGTTATACTCATACTAATAGAGTGAAAATTTCACTCAATCGGATGTGGACAGAAATTAATACATTGTGAGTAAAATTGAGTAAATTTGGGTGATCTTTTTTACAGTGTATATTTAATAATGTATGTAGTATATAATGTATTTGTTCAATTTATTATTGTAGGTTCTTAATTATTACAACTTTTTCTATATTTTTTTAGCTTTCTTTGGCCTTAGTTTTTCTACTCACTGTCTTATCTGCAAGGCCGACTTAAAAATGCTTCAAAAGCTCCCGATGATGCGAAAATTGTAATCGGAACGCAATTGG